CATTAGGTTTCCCCAGATTGGACTAGTCCAAGCCTGAATAAAATGACTAAAAGTAATTTTTCTTGCTGTATCAGCTATTGTGTTTTAGTCACATGAGACTTAGCAGAACCTACATTGCTGTTGCTCTTGCACAGAAATTACGATTTTTCTTTTTAGGCATTATGCTGCTAGCTACTCTCTGGCTACTGAGGATATTGCTGAAATGGTGCCATGGTGTCAAGGAGCTTGGTGCAAACAAACCACCCAAATTCTTGTGCTGCTTTCTGCAAAAGCTCTGTGCAAGGCTATGTTGTTAGCAGAACTGATGCAACTCCATTTAAATATAGATAAGATTTGTTTGCTTTGATGACATCACCACAAGACCTTCTGTATGACTGTGAAATTGTTAAGTGGCTTGTAAAGTGGTGCAGTTGAAACATAAACATACAGTTTATGCTTATTCTGGCCAGGTACTAAGGAACTTCAGTAGTGTAATATGCTTTTACAGTAGATGAGATACAGCACTGTAATTTTAACTTTACTAATGCTGCTGTAGAAATAAAACCTATACTTGTTTAAAACTGGATTTTCTTAGCATATATACTGCAGTTAATGCAGTGTCTGTTGTTTTCAAAAATATTTTTGAACCCAAACTCTAGTATACTCTGTGTGAAGACAAAAACTGAAAAATGAATCGAAGCTATTACCATATGGCTAATATAGATAGAAGTAAGGAAATACATCCTAACAAAAAAATCTATCAAAAAAAAATATACACAAATCCTAAAAAATTCTCAACAGTTATCTTACACCTTCCTCTCATCTTTAGGAAGTTTCCTACTTGATTATTCTTGAAATGAGTTCTGATATGTTTCCTATTTTATGTATCACATTTATTTACGGTTATACAGTAGCACCAGATGAAAATGCTCAGAGCAAACAAAAGTACAGGAGAGATTTCAAACTGACTGTATTAATTACACACTGTAAAAGTACTAGCTTTCTGAGGAAAAGCGATTTCCAACTTCCAAAACCTTGCTAATATTTTCATAAAACAAAAAATCCAAAGAAAATAAAATAAAAAAATCAGTTTCAGTGTACCGCTTTTGAATAAAGTTATATACACTTATAAGACAGACAGTTCATTAAATAGAAAAGATTTGTTTTACATAAAGCAAAAGAGTACAAAAGCACAGCTTTTGTAATTTTGGTAATATTGCAGTTTTACAAACATATTGCATAGTATGTGTAAGAAAATAGTTTCCATCTTTTTGTATATTTATATATACAAGAAAATCATTAATATGAAGATTAAAAAATAAATATGGTTAGCAGACCTTTACTGAGTACTGATTGAACAATATTACAGTCAAACTTCCATCCAACTTACATATGCATTACAGTGAATCAGCTGGTAACAATTCCATAGCCTAAAGTTTGTCTTTTATTTTTTTTTTATTTAGACAATGATTTAGAATCTAAAAAACACATGAAAAAGAATACATGGCGTTAGCAACTGAGTATCTTAAACTTCCTTCTTTAAATCCTTCTAGACACTTATGACTGTATCTTCAACCCAGACTTAATAGCCCTCTGCATCTAAAATTGTTTTGAGTCAATTCTTTTATCAAGTCAAGTCTCTGTTTTGCAAGCAAAACAGTATAACTTCAGTTGAAGCAAGCAATGTCTTGGCACGTTTTGGAATACATAGCCTTTTGTTTCCTTAGGAACACCAAAAGATCCTCATATGTATGAACAGTAATGTAATCGCACCACACTGACAAAAAATTTAAACCCTGGAAAAAAGTGAACAATCTACAGCTCAAAATGCTGCACAAATCTAAACTATGTTACAATTTCATGTTGTAATTACAACTTGTCATCTCTTCATTCCAACAGAATTAGTAGAAGCAGAAGTGTCATAGTGTTAGATATAATAGAAGTGTCAGTCTTTGGTCTAATCACTTAACCAATGAATGAATTGCAATACAAAACCATACAGCTAACGGTGCTCAGAGAGGTTGGCTGATGCTTTTATTTTTCTTTTTTAAACAAGAAAGAGACAGTATCCTATAATATCATGACACAGGTATTTTTACAGAAGATAAATCTATCATATATATTAAATACATGTAACTAATAAGGTCTTTTCATATATTTCATTGTTGTTGTAAGGATAGCCCTGAAGAAGTCAAACAGCTGCAATACCATCTTAGTGGTTCCCATGCAAACATTCTAGTACAAAAAGAAGCTTTATTTGATACATGTATTCATATACTGTAAAAAACCTCAGAGGAATATTTTAGCCACTCATTTAAAAAAAAAAAAAAAGC